CGACGACGGCGACGACAAGGACGATGACGATGACGACGACAACCACGACGACGTCGACGACACCGACGGCGACGGCGACGATGACGATGACGACACCGTGTCGCCCTGGCGAGGCACCCTCTACGGGCGCGGGCTCTATTTGGCCGAGTGTTCCAGCAAGGCGCGCGCCGTTTTTTTGCCTGCTCGAGTCCAGCCCCTGCCCATGCAGGGGGAGGGGTCGGAGGGAGCAGGGGCAGGAAGTAAATATTCCAGTTGTCCTGACCCTGTCCCTGTCCATCGTCCTGTCCACCTTCCTTGTCCCCTGCATCTCCCTGCTTTGACTGTTGCGCTTGCCTCTGTTGCTGTGTTGCCTTCTCGAGTCCAGCGCCTGCCCCATCATGGGGGCGGCAACGCCAGGGTGGGATAGGCATACAGGCAACCCACATAGTAAGGATGGGCAACCTTCCCAAGGGTACCCTTGCATCCTTGCCTCCTCGGTCCATCCTTCGCCGCTTTCCCTGGCCGCGTCCCGCTCGACAAGCTTCGAAATGGGCGTCCGAGGCCCTTGCATCCTTGTCGCGCATCCTTACTCTACTGGTTGACTGTAGGGAGGACTCGAGGCTTGAAGGTTCTTGAACAGTTTGTCAGAATACTCCAGATTTCGTAGTAGAAGGGAGGGGGTCTGGACCCTCCAACACAAGCCATTTCAGACCCCCCCTCGTGGGAGAACCCTCGAAAACATCGTCCCCAGACCCCCCCCCAGGCCCTCCAAGATAGCCTGGAAGAGACCCCCCCCCCGAAATGAGACCCCCCTCCCTTTATTACGAAACCTGGAGTACCTGGCGACACTCCGGCGCCGCGGGATTTTTTTTTTCAGCGGCGGCGCCTCGTCGAGGGTGTGCCGGGGGTGCCCGGGTCGCCCCGAGCGGCCGCCGGAGGTCCGGGGCAGGGTGCGAAAGCCAGGGGGCAGCGATAGTGGGGGGCACTCCAGGTTTCGTAATAAAGGGAGGGGGGTCTCATTTCGGGGGGGGGGTCTCTTCCAGGCTATCTTGGAGGGCCTGGGGGGTCTGGGGACGATGTTTTGGAGGGTTCTCCCACGGGGGAGGTCTGAAATGGCTTGTCTTGGAGGGTCCAGACCCTCTCCCTTTTGTTACGAAGTCTGGAGTAGGCATAGGTCGGGTTGATCCAAAAGGGGGTCCAGTGACAAGGGGCTGGTGCCATAGATTTGGTGCAACAGATTTGCAGGGTTGCGCTACATTTGGGGCGTGCAATGCATCCCGGGGCGCAACTGTAGTGCTGGACTTTCGCGTGCAATGCAATTCTCCGGCGCAATACATTCGCAATTCCATTGCCCCAAATATATTGCACCACCCCTTGCAGGTGGACCCCCTTCTGGGTCACCCAGAATAGGGGGGGATGCATCTCCCCCGATGCCAATCCCACACTCATTATCGTGGCCCCTCGGGGGAGGGTGGAAAGAGGGAGGAGGGGCAGGAAGCAAAGTGCCTCGCTCCTCCTCCTTGCCAACTCTCGCGGTACCCCTCCTTTCCTCCTCCTCCTCCTCCTGCTCCTCCTCCTCCCCATTCTCGTGTTATCCAGGTGATTGCAGGAAAAAAACGCCCATGTCAGCGAAGCGCGCTGTGTGCCGGCCCTTCGAGTACAGTCCGCCTGGCCGTCACACGTGTCACCTCCTTGTCTCCGTGGCTGGGGGAGCTCTCGTGGGGCTCAGCAAGGCCGTCTTGGGTGTCCAGGGCTCCTGCTTGGGCCGTGTTGGGTCTTTCTTATACACAATGAATTGTATGTTTTCCGCTTCGATGGTCTTGGAGCTTAAATTTTTGCTTCACGTTGAAATCTCAATTTGAATTTAGATTCAAGTTTAAATTTGATTTTAACTTTAGATTTTCATTCAACTTTAAATTTTAATGTAGAGTTAAGTTTGAGTTCAACTTTAGATGGCAATTTGAACGAACAGCTCACTACACAGTAAATTGTGTTCTCCGCTCCGATTGTCTTGGAGCTTCAAATCTCGCTTCACGTTGAAATCTAAATTATAAGTTAGATTGAATGTCAAATGTAAATTTGCATTTAGATTTACATTTAAATTCAGATTTAAGTTCAAATTTAGATTTCAATTTAAACTTAAATTTAACTTTAGATTTAAGTTTGAGTTCGACTTTAGATTGCAATTTGAACGAACAGCTCACTGCACAGTAAATTGATTTCTCCGCTCCGATTTTCTTGGAGCTGCAATTCCCGCTTCACGTTGAAATCTCAATTGGAACTTAGATTCAATGTTGAATTAATTTTACATTTAGATTTAAAGTAACATTTAGATTTAAGTTTAACTTTTAAATTAAATTTAGATATAACTTTAAATTTAGAGATAAGGTTAAAGTCAACTTGCGATTGCAATTTCAATGAAATGGTTAATCCGCAGCAAAGGGGTCACAAGGGGACAATGGGGATAAAAAGGGACAAAGATGAAAAAGGGGACAAAGGGGACAAAAGAGGACAAAGAGGGGACAAAGGGGACAAAAAGACACCGTCGAGGAGTCAAATGTCTTACTTCCTGCGGCGCCTGAGAGAGCGCTCGGGGAGCACCCGAAAAATCACCTGAAAGGCACCCCGAAGGCACCCGAAGGCCCCCCGAGGGCACCCGGTAGGCACCTCGAGAGCACCTCGAAGGCACCCACAACATCCCGCAAATATATACGACGCTCATGAAAAATGCCAACTGAACACCCGCAGGATGCCCTGAAGAAGTTCCCGCAGCGCCACCGGCAAGCAACTGGAATGCACCCGAAAGGCACCCGAAGGGCACCCGACAGGCACCCGCAATCCGCTCCTAGGCGAAATCTGAGGAAATTGTTTTCCTGGAAAGATGGTGAACGTTCAATTGAAATGAGCGCGCCGAAAAAAAACCAACAACTGCGCCTGGTGGCCCAGGAGCCTCATTTTGAACCGCCCAAACCAACCCAACAATTGCAAAACATGCGCATACTTTCCCCCTTCTACGGCCTCAAAAAGCTCTCGTGGGCGGCGGCGGGCGCTTGCAGTCGTGATGCGTGCGCGCGGTCTCTGGGAATGTGCATGCGAGAACACCCTTTACAGCTTTACATAATCTATGATTCCCATTATCATGTCGAGTTTCTTCGCTCTCTATCTCACCCTCTATCTCTCTATCTTTCTCTCTCTCCCTCTCTTTCTCTCTTTGTCTTCGTCGTCGTCGTCCTCCTCCTCCTCCGTCTTCCACGTGAGTTCTTTTGAAGTTCGCATCTAAAAGGATTTGCGTATAATCCGCCACAAAGGGAATCCTTCTGTAATCCGCCGCAAGAAGGAATCCTTTTGGAATCCGCCACAAAAGGAATTCCTTTCAGGCGGACGTGCAAGTTGACCGACGGCTCAAAGGGGCATCAGTGAAAAAAGAGAAAAACAAGGAAACAGACAAAGAAGAAAAAAACGCTTGGGACTCTCACGTTTTTCGGTGAATTTTTGTCTGCGTACCCCCGCCACAAAAGGAATCCTTTTTTAATCTGCCACAAAGGAATCCTTTTGTAATCCGCCACAAAAGGGATCCTTTTGGAATCTGCCACACAAGGAATCCTTTTGTAATCCGCCACAAAAGGAATCCTTTTGTAATCCGCCACAAAAGGAATTCCTTTAAGGCGGACGTGCAAGTTGACCGGCGGCTCAGGGGGTACCGGTGAAAAAAGAAAAAAAGTCAAAAAACATGGAAAAATAAAAAAAGAAAAAAACGAATGGGACTCTCTCGTTTTTTGATGAGTTTTTGGTTGGGTACCCCCGCCACAAAAGGAATCCTTTTGTAATTCGCTACAAAAGAAATCCTTTTGAAATCCGCTACAAAAGGAATCTTTTTACAACCTTACACAATAGGAATCCCTTCGTAATCCGCCACAAAAGGGATCCTTTTGTAATCCGCCACAAAAGGATTACAGAAGGATGTTCTTCGTGGAGTATTACCACTTGGATCCAATTCGCCACAAGGGCCCAGGACCTGAGGGCCTCCAAAAAAACAAAAAAACAAAAAGAGCAAGAAACAATTACAACAAACAAAAAAAGCTGAGACTCTGTGCGTTTTTCAAATCTACGTCCAAATGCAATGAAAATCAAGTGTATTTTAATTGTACACAGTTTGATCTGCAGAATCCCATCGTGTACAACCCACATGTAATTGAATTTAATTGTATTCTGATCGTGGATTTGAAAATCGCAAAGAGTCCCAGCTGTTTTTTTGTTTTCCGTGCTTTTTTTGTTTTTTGTTTTTTTGGCTGGTACTTCCCTAGGCCCTTGGGTTTGGGTTTCTAAAGGATTTCCTTTGTGGAGGATTACAAGAGAATTTATTTTGTGGTGGACTAGAGAGAGAAAGAGAGAGAGAGAGAAGAAACTCGACATGATAATGATAATCACACATTGTGTGAAGCCTCGAAAACGCTTACACGAGCCTTGTTCCAGGGGGCGGAGATGCACCCCTTACCCTCAGGGGGGGGCCATTTGTTAATCGCAAACTGACATTTCATAAAGCGCAAACGGGGCGCCCAGAGACCCTGACGTCGTGATCCCTTCACTGCTGAGAACGCGTTTCACGGGCGCTTGCCTTGGAAACATTCGGCGGCGCGTGTCGAACCGGGGGGTGGGCCCCCCCCAACACTTGGCGCCGTCGATCAAAACCAGGGGGACCCCCCCCCCTCCCAAGCCCCCCCCCCCTCCTGACCCCTGGGCCAAGGGCCAAGGATCTCAGAGCAGGAGGAGCACATCCTCGTCGTCGTCGTCGTCGACTTGCCGGTGCAAATCGTTTAGTATCTCTTTTGAACCCGACCCTCATCATGCCCTTGGTGTTATTACCAGGGGTAGCCGGTTACATAGGTGGAGAGTGGCTATCATTCGAACTGGGCTTTCGCATTGCGCCTCTAGCTTTGTAGGCTCGGCGGCGGTATACAAGGATGCACGGGTGGAAGGCGGTTTTTGCCCAAAGTGGTACCATCGTTGGTCCTGTCCTTGAATTGTGTGATCCTACGTCGCCGCATTCCTTGCAGCACAGATGATGGCGGGCGGTTCCATTGCAAAGGAGGGCGCACGAATGTTGTACTTGCATTGCTGGCCCACCGGGCGCTCGTCTTCCCAGGGGCACTTCCGCAAAAAAGTTGGTTTTCCTGCAAGGATTCGTGAGTGGGGGGGTTGGGGTGGCAATGCTTTTTGATTGTTTGACGCATTTTGTGGATTGGTCTTGATGCGTTGTTGTCGTCGGCGGCAGTGTCGTCAGTATTCGGGCGGCATCGGCGTCATAATCTCTGATGCATCTCGGTGTTTTCTGTGTTCATCATGCTCCCGCGGGCGCGGGTCTGTTCCGACGCCCCGTGCACGCAGATCGAGATATTGCGGGCACCACAGCCGCCACTCCAGCAGTGCGGCTCCCCCAAGAGTTGTACGCTGCCTACAGCGACGGCCACTCCCAGGGGGGTTGGGGATTGCCCGCCACCGCCTTCAAGATTGTGCACGCTGGGGAGCGTCGCGGCCACCTGCGCGCCGAAGAGGTCGCCCGCGTGTTCTGCCCAGCCTCCTTGTCCCCGGCCACCCTCCTGCACCGATCCTGGCCACGTCGACATTCGGCCCACGATCGATGCATATACGTAGTACCCGCAGAAGCGGCTAGGAGTGATGGGGGCGGTGGGGACGTCGGCAGTTTGCGAGACTTCAGAGACGCCCGCCGCAGGCGCCATACAAATGATACAACGAGCCGCCCGCCGCAGGCACCATTTTTTTTCGTTAAACCAATGTGGGTCGGTCGCAAATGGGTCGCGGCTGGGTCGCTGGTGTGTCGCGAGATGGTCGCGGGTGGGTCGCGGGTGTGTCTCGGGTGGGTCGCAAGTGGGTCGCGGATGGGTCGCGGATGGGTCGCGGGGTGGATCGCGTGGTGGGTCGCGGGGTTGGTCGCGGGTGGGTCGCGGGTGGGTCGCGGGTGGGTCGCGGGGGTCGTGGGCGGGTCGCGGGTTGGGGCGCTGGCGGGTCGCGGGGTGGGTCGCGGGGTGGGTCGCGGGGTGGGTCGCGGGGTGGGTCGCGGTTGGGTCGCGGGTGGGACGACGACAACAAACGACAACAATGCAACAACGCTCTAAGCAGTCTTCACCACGGATCCCGATTTTTGCCACGCACCCAGGGACATTGAATGACCGTTCGGCCCCCTACTCTGACAACAAGCCCGCCGCAGGCGCCGATTTTTGCGTTCAACCAATGTGGGTAGGTCGTGGGTGGGTCGCAAATGGGCCGCGGCTGGGCCGCGGCTGGGTCGCGGCTGGGTCGCGGTTGAATCGTTGTCGGGTCGCGGCTGGGTCGCGGGAGGGTCGCGGGTGGGTCGCGGGCGGGGTCGCGGGTGGGGTCGCGGGTGGGTCGCAAGTGGGTCGTGGGTGGGTTGCGGATGGGTTGCGGATGGGTCGCGGGATGGTTCGCGGGTGGGTCGTGGCATGGGTCGCGGGTGGGTCGCGGGTGAGTCGCGGGTGTGTCGCGGGGTGGGTCGCAGATGGGTCGCGGGTTTGGTCGTGGGTGGGTCGCGGGGTGGGTCGCGGGATGGGTCACGGGGTGGGTCGCGGAATGGGTCGCGGATGGGTCGCGGATGAGACGACGGCAACAATCAACAACAATGCAACAATGCAACAAACATAATCCGAACCACGGATCCCCATTTCATCCACGCACCCAGGGGCAATGAACGACCGTTCGGCCCCCTCACTCTGACCTGCTCACTCTGTCCAAGCCAAAAGGGCGTATACACCGGTCCTGCCCCCATGCTGTGTCTGGCCAGGATCGGTGTCAGTGTACATTCGGCGTCCTCCTACTTCCCTCCCTGCCTTCGCGGACCCTGCTGGACGCGGCCTGGGCGCCAGGCCGACGAGTACGCCACCGCGGAGAGCGACGGCCTATGCCGCATGCTGCTCTGCCGGGCCGTCCTGGGCAGGAGCGCGACGGGTGCGAGTTGTGGGATGGGCGTCCGACGGCAGAGCCTTTTGGAGGAGCCCCCCTTCAAGGAGCGAAGGAGAAGGAAGGACGTACACGTACATGAACCCACGTGGGTTTCGACAGTACGCATTGCGCGAAAGTTCGTACCATGAGGCTGGTCTCGCGGACTGGGGGTCCGTATCTGTGTGCGTGGCTGGGCGCGTACGTTTTTTGTGGGTTCCTTGCCTTCCACAGCCTCCCCTCCTCCCCCTCATCCTTTTCCTACATGTTCTCGACCTCATGCTCGTTTTCGTCCTACTCCTCTTCCTTCTCATCATCATCATCATCATCATCAGCAGCGTCATCATCATCAGCATCAGCATCAGCAGCAGCAGCATCATCATCATCATTATCATCATCATCATCCTCTTCCTCTCTCTCTCCCTCTTTCTCTTCCTCTTCCTTTTCCTCCTCGGGCCTTTGCCGAGCTCATGACCATCACAGTACTACGTCATGTGGGGGCCAGGTGCAACACAGTTCGCATCAAACACCTGATTGACGATATCAGTTTGCATGCTGTGGGTGGTCAAGTGGTTTCTCGGGAGGTGGTCTATGCGTTTATGGAGACGGCCAAGGGGCTGCCTCTATCCTGGGACAAGATGGGCTTTCTTTGCAACGATGGTGACGTGTTCGACCTGATTGTTGACGAGGTGTCTGATTGTTGGCCAATGGGAGTGCCTTTCCATGCAGGCATGCCTATCATCGGGACCTGGGTGGTGATGCTTACGACGGACGATACCGACGGATTGGGACGCAGCTTACGAGAGTACGCGACGCGATGTTGAAACGGGACCGTGTGAGGGCGCTGGTGGGCCTGGCGAAGCAGAAAGCCGCAGTCCACGGCATCCTGGGCTGCTCTATCGCGGGAGTGCCCAACCGCAGGGTGCAGCAGTTACGCATGTTCTTCTTGAGTGTTGCTTCTCAAGCCAGGGGCCTATGTTGGGCGTTCCCTTACGTGTGCGGAGAGCGGATGGCAGAAATATCCATTGGTCATTACTATGACAGGCGCTGTCCACACGTACCTTGTTGTTGGACAGTCTAGTTCCATATCCGCCGAACTGATCAGGCCTTTGATGGTCAAGGCGAAGTCACTCCTGGGCGGCGCTCAGGTCTGGGTGTAGTGCACAGGATCAGCAGGACACTGAAGGAGCCAGACTTGCTGCAGGACGACTGTGGCGTGGATTGGAATCTCAATTTATATTCTGCAAGTTACATTTCGCACTTGGTCAAGCTGGGAGTTCGGAGACAGATCGGTCGCGACACCCTCAGTCGCTTTCCTGGTGCTGGCTCCTCGCGGGCGGGGCCCATCGTCTGGTGGCCGATACATGCGGCGCTGCTCCGCAAGTTTCTTCCTCCACATGAGCGCAGATCGCGAGGGGTGATCACTGGCGCGCACTGGTCGCAGGTTAGGGTGGCTTGGGCTTTTGCAGGTGACCCGCCGCTGTGCACCCGATGCCGCGTCGAGGGCTGATTTGTGATGAAGACGTCGGCTTTGATTCGGAGTAGTGGCCTTTCGCAACCGTTATGTTATCCCACCCCACTGCTGGCCCGTGCAACGGGGCCCCATGTCGTGTGCGGGCGCGCCCTGGGCGTGCGCCGCGGCCTCCGGCTGCTCGCGTTCGGCGAGCCGGGAGGCGAGGGCCCCCCCCGCGGCCGCGGCGGCCGCTGCCGCCGCTCGGTGCCCCTGGTCCTGGCCCCCGTGCTCTGGCCGTCTGTGGGTCCCCGCCCTCGCCTTGGGGGGCTTTGGGGCCCACGGCGGCTGTGGCGGGGTGGCTGGGGCTGCGGGTGCCCTCTCCGTCCAGCCGCATTTAGGCTTTGGCTCGCTCGCTCCTCCTCGTTTTGCTCCTCCTCTCCATCCCCGCCTCCGCCCCCTCCTCCTGACTCCGCCTCCCCCCCCCCCTTCTTCCCCCTCCCCCGCCTCCCCCTCGAGAGGGCCCGGCCATCAAAACGTCCCCCTCGGGGGGCTCTGGTGGCGGCGCCCACCCCTCCCCATCGGCCACTCGGCGGCGAGCGACGGGGCGGACATGAGAAAAGGCCTGCTGAGAGGCCCCGCCGTGTACTGAGAGTGTATTTTCCTTCTCACTCCCCCCTCGCTCGCCGCCGAACAAAGTGCCTAGGGCCCAAGGCGAACCCTTAAATGGGCCCCAGGGAGGGGGCCCCACGAGGGCACCGACGGAGGCCCCGACAGAGACCCCCAAGAGAGGCCCATGAGGCCTCCGGGGTTCCGGAAGCCTTTTGCGTAGGTCTCGGCGGCGAGCGATGCCTTCTCAGAAGGCGGCGGGGCTTTTCAGAAGCCCTCGCGCCTTCCGTGAGGTTGTCAGTGTCTTCGGGGGAGGCGCAGGAAAGTTCCCAGAAGGCGGGGGAGTGTTCGAGCCTTTGGGAAAACCCACCCCTTCTCATTTCCCCCCCTGGCTCGCCGCCGAAGGTCTCCCGCGGCCGATCAATCCCGCCGGCTTCTGAGGAGGCCTTTTACTTGTCACTTCCCTGTTTCGGTCGCCGCGGAGCAATCGGGGTGGAGCGGGCGAGGACATGGGGATAGGCGGGAACAGGGAGGGAGTGGGGAGGTGGAGGCTTGCAAATACGATGGTGATGATGATGCTGCTGATGATAAGGATGGCGATGATGATGATGTTGATGTTGATGATGATGATGATGATGATGATGATGAGGTTGATGGTGATCATGATGATGATGATGATGGTGATGGTGATGGTGATGATGATGATGATGATGATGATGATGATGATGATGGTAATGATGGTAATGATGGTAATGATGGTAATGATGATGATGATGATGATGATGACGATGACGATGACGATGACGATGACGATGATGATGATGATGCTGATGATGATGATGATGATGATGATGATGATGATGATGATGATGGTGTTGTTGATGATGGTGATGATGCTGATGATGATTGTGATGGCGATGATGATGGTGATGATGACGACCAGGAGGAGGAGGAAGAGGATGAACACTTGTAGGGGATGAGTGGGAGAAGCGGAAGAGGAGGAGGAGAAGGAGGAGGAAGTGGAGGATGGATGAGGAGGAGGAGGAACAGTGAAGGACGAGGGACGAAAGACGATAAACAACATAGAAGGAAGTATGGTGGATGAGTGACACAGGAGAGAAGAAGGGAGAGGAATGGGGGTATTGGAGCGGAGCAGGGAGGAGTAGGGAAGTGCAGGGAGGTTTGGGGCAGAGGTGGGAGAAGGGGCAACAAGAGGGAAAACGGGGAGCAGGGAGAGGAGGTGGAGGGAGGCATAATATACGGGAAGGGATAGGAGGGGAGGAATTCCCCAATCCCTCTTTCTCCTCCCAGAACGAGAAGGACGCGGTGGAGAAAGAGAGGGATCGAGAGAGAGAGAGGGAAAGGATATACAGAGAGCGATAGGTAGGTACACAGAGCAAGATAGAGAGAGAGAGAGGGAGAGAAAGAGAGACAGAGTTCGAGAGAGAGAAGGGGAGGAAGGAAGTGAGGGACTTGTGTATATATATATATATATATATATACATATATATACATATATGGAAGATCCCGGGCCCCGGGCCCCGGGCCGGAACCTCCCTTGTATATAGGGTGCGGCCCTCTCCCGGGGCGCCCTTCCGGCGGCCCCCGCGCGTTCCAGCCCGCCCAAGAGGGCTCCAGGAGCGCCGAGAGAACCCCAGGATCGCTTCAAGACCGCCAAAGATCGCTTCCAGAAGGGTCAAGAGGCGCTCAAACCGCCCCAAGAGGCCTTCAAGAGGCCCCCCACGAGCGCCCCGGGAGACCAAAATAGCCCCATTCCCTTCGTAAAACGTACGTTTTTACGATATCAGCTCCCTTAGCTGTCGGAGCGGCCAGAAAGCCCCACGAGGCGCCGAAGGACGCTCCAGGACGACTGAGAACAGCCCCAAGACGGCCCAGGAGGGCCTCCCGGGACGCTCCTCCGGCGGCCCCCGGGCTGCCCAGTCCGCCCAAGAAGGCTCCAAGAGCGCCGAGAGAAGCCCAGGATCGCTTCAAGACCGCAAAAGATCGCTTCCAGAAGGGCCAAGAGGCCATCAAACCGCCCCAAGCGGCCTCCAAGAGGCCCCCCAAGAGCGCCCCGGGAGACCAAAATGGCCCCATTCCCATCGTAAAACGTACATTTTTAGGATATCAGCTCCCTTGGTTGTCGGAGCGGTCCGAAAGCCCCACGAGGCGCCCTAGGATGGCCCGAAGACAGCCCAGGAAGGCCTCCCGGGACGCTCCTCGGGCGGCCCCCAGGCCTCCCAGTCCGCCAAAGAAGGCTCCAAGAGCGCCGAGAGAAGCCCAGGATCGCTTCAAGACCGCCAAAGATCGTTTCCAGAAGGGACAAGAGGCCATCAAACCGCCCCAAGAGGCCTCCAAGAGGCCCCCCAAGAGCGCCCCGGGAAACCAAAATGGCACCATTTCCTTCGTAAAACGTACATTTTTAGGATATCTCATCCCTTGGCTGTCCGAGTTGTCAGACAGCCCCAGGAGGCGCCCAAGGACGCCCCAGGACGCCTGAGGACAGCGCTAAGAGGGCCTAGGAGGGCTTCCTGGGACGCTCCTCGGGCGGCCCCCGGGCCTCCCAGTCCGCCCATGATGGCCCAAGAGACTTCCCGGTCGCCCCGAGAGGGCCCCCGGAGCGCTCCGATACGGCCCAACATGGCCTCCATAGGTCTTTCTATGTTTTGAGGCCCAGAATGAGGCCCTCCAGATTTGGTCCGACGATGTGGCGCGGCTCCAAGGGGGGGGGCCGAATATTGCAGAACAATACAATATGTAGCATATGTAACAGTAACAAGTATGCAATCGTTGGATACACTGGACACGTTGCATGAAAGCATCCGCGGACCTGCCTCTGGCAACACGTCATTTTCGGACGTAGATTTCCCGCGAATCGCCACGGAATCGGACCCGTGCTTGCGAACACCGTTTTCGGAGCAAACTAGAACCTAAGCGCGCGCCAAGCGCGCGCGTGGTTCTAGTATATATATATATATTATATATATATATATATATATATATATATATATATATATGCTCGGTCCCCCCCCCCAGCGACCCCCCAAAACGCCCAAAACACGAAGCCGCGGTCTTGAGATGCTGGCACCGAACAGCCGCAGACACATGGTCTGTCACAGCGGGCTGTGACCCGAGAAGTATTCCTCCTCATCTTACTCTCCCTCATCCTCCCCCTCCTCTTCCATCTCCCCCCTCGCCTCCTGCTTCTCCTGTTACTCGTCCTCCTCCTCCCTCCTCCCTCGTCCTCCACCTTCTGTTCTTCCACCTGGTCCTCTCCCTGTTGGAGAACTCAACTTTGGCCTGCCATCCAGGCTGACGAACTCATCCGCTCGGCCCATCCGTCACGGGCACCGTGCGCGCAAGCATATCGGTTTCGGCCGAGGCCACGAAACACTGTGTATCACAGGTTTTGTCTGGTTTTTCTGGTCTGGGAACCAACGAAACACTGCGTATCACAGGTTTTTCTGGTTTTTCTGGTTTCTGGAGCTGAAATGCTCGCCGCGGCCTCGCCCCACCGCTCCCCCACCTCCTGTTTGTCGGCACCTGAAAACCAGAAAAACCAGAAAAACCTGTGATATACAATGTTTCGTTGGTTCCCAGACCAGAAAAACCAGAAAAACATGTGATACACAGTGTTTCGTGGCCTCCGAGCAAGAAAACACTGTGTACTCTTCGGGGACTACAGCGCTCGCCGCTCACTGGCAGTGCTCCTTGAGGAAGGCCTCCTCCAGCATCTTCCCTGTTGCCAGCCACAAATCCTCGCCCCTGTGCCAGTACAACCACTGGTAGGAGCCAGAACCAGAACCAAAACCAAAGCCAGAACCAGAACCAGAACCAGAGCCAGAACCAGAGCCAGAACCAAAACCAGAACCAGAGCCAAAACCAGAACCAGAACCAGAGCCAGAACCAGAGCCAGAACCAGAACCAGAACCAGAACCAGAACCAGAGCCTTGCTCGGAGGCCACGAAACACTGTGTATCACAGGTTTTTCTGGTTTTCTGGTCTGGGAACCAACGAAACATTGTATATCACAGGCTTTTCTGGTTTTTCTGGTTTTCAGGTGCCGACAAACAGGAGGTGGGGGAGCGGTGGGGCGAGGCCGCGGCGAACATTTCAGCTCTAGAAGCCAGAAAAACCAGAAAAACATGTGATACGCAGTGTTTCGTTGGTTCCCAGACCAGAAAAACCAGACAAAACGGTGATACACAGTGTTTCGTGGCCTCGGCCGAAACCGATATGCTTGCGCGCACGGTGCCCGTGACGGATGGGCCGAGCGGATGAGTTCGTCAGCCTGGATGGCAGGCCAAAGTTGAGTTGTGTATTCGTGCTTTGGGCGCTCTGGGGGGTCGCTGGGGGGGATCGACCATATATATATATATATATATATATACACATATACACATATACATAGAAATGCAGATATACGTAGAGGGAGAGAGAAAGAGAGACGGCTCCGTCCCCACCCTGGCCCTGCGCGCTTGCGCTCCGTGCTGTGGAAGCGCCCAACCAAATACAGACCTATTGCGAAGGCCTTACGGCCGGTGCCGCCGACCCTGAATGGCGACGACGACGACGACGGCGAGCGCTCTTGGGGGCCTCTTGGGGGTAGTTTGTGGGCCTCTTGGGAAGCTCTTAGGGGCCGCTTGGAAGCCTCGTGGGGGCCTCTTGGGGCTTCCTGGGGTTTTTTTGGAGGGGGCCTGGGACGTCTTGGAGGCTTCTTGGACGGTCTTGGGGCTATCTTGGGCGTTTTCGGCCGATCTTTGGGCGACTCGGGGCCCTCTTGGGTCGTCTCGGGGGCCATCTTGGGCATTCGGACCTCATTTGGAGTATTTTCGAAGTTTTCCGTGCTGTGGAAGCGCCCAACCAAATACAGACCTATACCAATACATTCCATAAACGAAAGGGAGATACTCGAGAAAGACAGGCAACAGTGAACGCAAAACCAAATCTACGGGTGATGACACCTGTTGCTTTTGGCTTCTTCGAGGTGAGAGCACCTCTGACTCTTTTGCTGTCCCTGGTCCGCCTTCGAGGGGCTCTGGGACTTGTTGGACAGCCTGCGCGCCAGGACCAGGCGGAGGACCACAGTGGAACAAACAAAACTCGCGCCCAAGGGCTTCTCGCCCGTTTCGGCCCCTTGGGGCCCTCGGGGCGCCCAGGACCATCCACAGCACGACTCACGATGAAAGACCGGTCCCGTGGACTGGGTCGAGACCTCGTCCTCCTCCTCCTCCTCCTTCACCTCCTCCTCCTCCTCCTCCTCCTCCTCCTCGTCCTCTCTTCTCCTCCTCCTCCTTCTCCTCCTCATTTTCCTTTTCCTCCCCCATCCCTCTCCCAGGAAGGCCGCCGTCTCCCAGGAAGGCCGCCTCCCAGGAAGGCCGCCTCCAGGAGAGGAGGAGGAGGTGGGGACGTTGCGCAAAAGTCATGACCTTCGGGGGTCCTGCGCGGGAAACTTACGCGCGAGTGTCCGCGCAGTCGAACCCGTGATCTGCGTCACTCGAACGAGAAGGGGCGAGCCTTCTCAGAAGCCACGGTACCGAGCCCCGGCGAGGGCCCCGAGGGGTCGGGAACTGAAACGCCGCCGACACGAGTTTGTCGAGAAGCCGGACGCTTGGGGTCTCTCCTGCTCCTGGAGGAGGAACCGAGGACGACAGGCCCGCCCCCGCCAGGATGCCACGCGCAGAGAGTGGCAGGGGGAGAGTTGGACGGCTCCTTGGAAGCACCCCGCCTCCTAGGAGGCGCGGACCTTCTCTGTAGATGTAGGGCCAGCGCCTTCGAAAAAAAACAGCCTCCTTCTGAGAAGGCCTACCCCTCCACCTACGTACCCCCTTTGAGAGCGCCGCCAAAGGATGCTGGTGGAGTGCGCCAGGCGCCCAGGGCGCACTGAGGAGCTGGAGGCGCGCTGTGCCAGGAACCCCCGCCCCGCGCGCGTGCGCCCCCCTCTTGTGCTCTCAACCCTCTTGTGTGTTGGGTCATCGTTTTGGAGTCGCAGCGCCGCGCGTCTCCGTCCTCTCCTCTCTTCTCCCCTCATCTCCTCTCCTCCTCTTTTTGCTCATTCCTCCGTCCACTCCCTCCTCTTTCTCTATCATCGTCGCCATCATCATCATCATCATCATCATCATCATCATCATCATCATCATCATCATCATCATCATCATCATCATCATCTTCATCTTCATCTTCATCTTCATCTTCATCTTCATCTTCGTCACCACCACCAGCATCATCATTAGCAGCACCATCGTTCTCACCATCACCATCATCATTACCATCATCATCGTCACCACCAGTATCGTCAGCATAGTCACCATCGTCAGCATCTTCATCATCATCATCATCATCATCATCATCATCATCATCATCACAATCATCATCAGAATCAGCATCATCATCAACAACATCGTCGTCATCGTCGTCATCATCATCATCACCATCACCATCACAATCATCACCATCATCAGCATCAGCATCAGCATCAACATCATCATCATCATCATCATCATCATCATCATCATCATCATCATCATCATCATCATCATCATCATCATCATGATCATCATCATCATCATCATCATCATAATCACCATCATCTGCAACAGCGTCGCCTCCAGCATCATCACCATCAACATCACCAGCATCGTCATCAGCTTCTTCATCATCTTCAGCATCTGCATCTCCGTCCACACGTTCTGTGGTCCCATTCGGAGCTCCACTCAAGGCCCCTGTGGTAGCGTCCGCATGGTGAGTCGGGTCCATTTCGGCACAATTCTCACACGTCTCGTGGCACCACATGGGGACTTCACCGAAGGTCCCAGCGGCTGTGTCTGCATGGTTATTCGGATCCATTCTGGCATACCTCACACGCTTCGTGGCTCCATAGGGAGCGCCACCGAAGGGCCTCGCGGCTGCGTCCGCATGGTTACTCGGGTCCATGTCGGCACTGACCTCGCACAATTCGCGGCCTCATAGTGAGCTTCACCCAGGGCCCTGTGGTAGCGTCCGCATGGTCACTCGGGTCCATTCTGGCACTCCCTTCACGCATTTTGTGGCCCCGTGCGAGCTCCTCCCAAAGCCGCAGCGGCAGCGTACGCATGGTTACTCGGGCCCGTTCTGGAACCTCCTACACGTTTCGTGGCCCCATATGGAGCTCCGCCGAAGGCCCCAGTGGCTGCGTCCGCATGATTATTCGGGTCCATCCTGGCAAACCCCATCACGCGCTTCGTGTCTCCATCTGGAGCTCCACCGAAGGCCCCAGTGGCTGCTTCCGCATGGTGACTCGGGCCCATTTCGGAGCACCCCTTGCATGTTTCGCGGCCCCATCTACGCAAGGGTTGGGTTTTTCACCAGTGTCATGTGTTCTAATGGGACGCTGTCCGCAAAGATCGTAACGTGCTTTCTTGTAGGGGTATAGGAGCAGGGAACTTGGAGGGATGGCTTGTGGCAACATCGTTGATGCGTCTTGGGTTTACACTGGTCCTCCGCGTCCTCCTCCAGTTCATTGTTTTCCTTCGCTCGTCGTCGTCGTCCTCCCCCGCGCCACCTTCCCGCTACGGGTAGCGAGGGCCCGCAGGCATGAGGCTGGAGGAGGGAGGAGGTAGGAGAGCAGGATGCGCGCGCCACAGAGGGGGGCAAATGGTCCCCACAGAGAACGCTCGACCGCGGCCGAGCGACGGGGGGCCTGACTCTACCTTAGGAGCAGGACCCCCCGACCACGTGGACGACGTCGACGACCACTCATGCGTCGTCGGACTTTCCATGCCGACGAGCGGCACCCGTGTGCAGGGAGGGGGGACGGACGGCGGGCCGGCCCGCGAAGCGGCTGGGCCCTCACCGTCTCCCGCTGCGACACCTCCCTGCCGCCCCGGCGCCGGGGCATCCGCCGCCGCCGGTGAGCTCGCCTTTCTCGCGCTCCGCGACGAGGCGGGTCTCCGCTCGACCATGTGGCGGAGCTGCACGACGTCGTGCGGGAGGTTCTCCCACGCGCAGGGCAGGCCGTGGCGCTGCATCCGGCGGACGGCGTCTCGGCGGAGCCCCGTCCAGCTCCGTGCCCTCGTCGTTGCCAGCGCCTCCCCCGCCGCGTGCTTGCCCTTGCCGCCACCACGGCGTGTGCCGCCCGCCGAGCGTCCGCGCCGCACCACGGGCAGCTCGTCCGCCCAGTCGTCGGGCGGCAGCGGATCAGGAGACGCGACGGGCACCACCGCCGCGCTCGCACCCGCCCCCGACGTCGACGGCTTCCTCCGCACGCTCGCCGGATTGCGCCGCGCCGCCGCGCCCGCGAGGACGTCGCCGCCGCCGAGGGGCAGCGACGGGCGCTTCCTGCACGTCCGCGGCTGGGGGGGGGGGGGGACGAGGGCGGCGCTGCGGGGGCCGCCAAGGCGGCGCTCGGCAGGCCCTCGGCGGGCTCCGCGCGAGGCCCTGCGCCTCGCGGCTCCCGCCTGTTAGCCCAACCGCAGCGTGCGTCGCCATGAGCGCGCTGTGCACAGCCTCCCG